CAGGCGAAAAACCTTTTGAAATGTGTGTTTTCTGAATGGAGATTGAGTCGACCAGGCTAAGCTAACGTTGTATATGCTCACTCCACACTCATAACAACGGCCTACAGACATGAATAAACCAGCGACTGTATTCGCCATGACACAGACAGTCTGTGGTTTGTACTAGGGTTGCCAGAAACTGACCATGATCAAAATCGATTATTCGGCAGCCCTGACGAATAATAATCGATTATTCGACTGACCCCTGTTATTACAATTATTAATACTATTACTATTATTAACATTAGTCTATATTTTGGTTGAAACTAAGCCAGAAAAAAAACAAAAAAACATAAATAATAATTAAAATATATATAAATAAAATCGATTTTTAAAAATAATATTCGATTATGGAGACTGTAACTAATATTTGAATAATCGAATAATCACTGGCATCCCTAGTTTGTACTTGTTTAACTTCTGTACAGCTCTGAGTACTAACACCTCACGACTGGTTTTCTGGTTCAACGTCAGTGACCGCAGGCTGAGATCCTCACCGCTGATTGGCTACCGCGAGATCGCATAACGCAAATTTGACGCTCAAGTTTAACAAATTTTACTCGAGCGGTTGTCGCGGCCCCCTTCAATCGCGCCGCGTCATTCGCGTCATCCGCGTCATCGGAGCAAATTCGCGTCTGTCCAAGTCTGCCCACGTCTACCCACGTATATGTAATCGCGCCTCCCCCAAATATCGCATCGCATCCGGTTTGAACGCACCATTAAATACAAAAGTGGGTTTTGGTTTTCTTCCCAGGAGCCCTCATGATACATTTTTGTGTCTCTTATTTTTTTATAACAAAAAAATAAAAAATGATACCCGATACAATTAAAGTTATGCAGGCAAAACAACAAAAACCACTGATTAAACAGCATTTATAGGTCTTGCAACAGTCTGATTCTGTGTTTACCGGTCGCCTGCTGGCTACACGGTCCTCATAATCGCCCATATTCACTACAACAAAACTCTGGTTTGGGACATTTCTAGGAACATTGTGCTCTCTCTCATTTCTAGGAACATTGTGCTCTCTCTCATTTCTAGGAACATTGTGCTCTCTCTCATTTCTAGGAACATTGTGCTCCCTCTTATTACTAGGATTTCTTCTGTTTTCAGGTCGGTTGTTTTGTTGCTTAGAGGACTGCTTTTCCTGGATCACAATATACAGCAGCAGTCCAACGCAAGCAAACTGACCCCATGTGTTTATGATTTGTACATCATCAGCGCTGCTTCCATAGCGGTTTCTGAGATACGACAGTTGGTTTTGTCCCAGAGCAAACTCTCTGATCTGTCTCAGGAGGTTCGTGGTGATGCTGTAGGTATGATCTGGATCATAAGGTGTCCCCTGATTTTCCGAAGTGTCATAATGCTGTGTGATATACACTTCGTCTATCGTCTGGTAAACTTGCCCTCGGTTTTGCTCCCTGACTCGAACTATGATCCTGTCCCTGTTTTCTCCTTCATACTCCCTCTGGGGATGCGCTACATACGCTGGAAGTGGATTGGACGTTCCCTGATGGAGATTTCCAATCGTGTAGTAATGGTATTGATTTCCCCGAGGCAGTGGGTTCAGCAGATCCTCATAGTTGCCATAATGATGGGAACCATAATCTCCACTGTTTGGGTCAAAGGTCAGCTGTATAATATCGTTGTTGTCGATGTCGATCTCGTTGGCAAACCAGTGGAGCAGCAGAAGACTGTGCTTGGGCACAGATTGGCCAAAGTTGATTTTCTTCAAACCATTGATTGATCTGAGCGTCTTCTGTACAGCTGACACAGAGGTCAGGGCGAGGAGCAGAGCTACACAGCACCAAGTGACTCCTCCCAACATCTTCATCATCCTGGGTCCACTTGAATCTCAATTAAGATGTCCAAAGTCCTTTTGTGAGGTAGAAATAGAGTAGAGAAAGTTTATAAAAACAGATTCATTTAATCAATTGATGTGTGTTCACTTAATGATACAAAAATATATTGATGCTATTACAATGTTTTAAGAATTAAAAGACATTATGGTCTCAAAACGACCTCTTGGTGAAAAGCAAAATGTGTGATTTCCTTGCTCTGAAGGAGTGTCACTCTTCAACCCTGTCGGCATTAAATAGGCCCGTAGTAATTGGACTACAACATTGTTTTTATATCATCCATTTTTCTACGGCACATGTAATAAATCTGAACATTTTAAATAATTTCATTGGAAATGTTAAACATTTGTATTTACTTGCCAAATCATGGAATCAGTTGTATATTTTCTGAGCCCTATATACAGTATAGGTTACTTTTCATTATTCATTCAAAAATACTTATAAAAAAATATTGAACCTAAAGTGGGAGACATTTTGATGAGCACCACCATATAATCCTCAATTAAAAAAAAAAAAGTATAATACATTGTTTAAAAATAATATTTTGGTCGTAAATAAAAACATTGTAAATAATCTCATTACGGCATAAACAACGTACATTTGCTGTTTTTAATCTGAGATTTCGTCACCTTGAAACCCTATTGTTCACTGCGCCATTTAACATCCAATCTGTACTTTCTCAAAGCATGCATGCCATTGTAACAAGATATGCAATAGGCATTACGAGGGCATCCACAGTCTTCTTATTGAGCAAAATATTTATGTTTAAGTTCTCTGAGTTTATTTTGAGGCTTCAGCAGCCTGAGTTCATCAAATCAAGCGAGTACCAAGTTACACTCTACCTAGTAGACTGTTTTGATACACAGCGTTTCCTTGTTGAGCTGCGGTGGAGGGATAGTAACACGAAGAGGAGAGAAAACTCAAATACAAAGCTGGAATCAAAGTCTTCTTCCAAACATGTGAAATAGTGCCAAAGTAAATAATAGAAACAAACTAGTGATCAGAAAAAGGAGAGCTCACCTCTGTTAGTCTGCTGCTGTCGAGTCTCAGATGTGTGTGTGTGTGTGTGTAAGTAAGTTTCAGTTTCCCGTAAATTAAACTGGCAAAACATCTGCTGCTGGTCATCACAGGAAGTTTGATCACATGGCTGTTTAAAAAAAGAAATTCCAGATATGAAAAGTAGTCTTTAGAAATGCAAAAAGCTAATATATATAGCAGCGTTTTGTCGCTTGTGATGCCAAAGATAACAAATCTGATCTTCCAGAATATAATGTTAACGGTGTCTTTATTATTTTGCACATCTAAATTGTGCTCAGTTCCCTAAAACCTCAAATGTAAAGCTGACATCAGTCTTACTGACACATTACAATTTAATAAACACACACAATTTATGACATTACAGGAAGTATAAAAACATTAAATGCATTCATGTCAGTGACGGCTGTCCTTTGCAGACCGGACAGTCATTCACCGATCTGTTTGGTTTATCAATCAGTGCTGCTTAAATTCTCTTCATCCGTCTCACACACAGGAGGAATCCTCAGTGAGTCATAGCTATTAAATTATACATGCTGGAGCAAAACTGAAGCCTGCAGCTTCATGCCTGCAGCAAAGCAGTGCATTATTAAAAAAACAACAAAAGCCAATGTGCACAGTTCAAATAGAAGAAGAAGCCCTACTGTTATTCAGAACCTGTCATTTTTTATAAATGTAACTTTGAACCTCAAAAGATTGAGGATTTAAGTATTTGGCCTGTCATCTAAAGCATGTCATACAAAGCTTTTATCTCAAATATAAACTAACACCATTCACAAAAAAAGTTATATAATAAAAATTGCAATTAAACACTGAAGTAAAAAAAAAAGAAGCATAAAACAGAAGAACCCCTGGACATGTTCACGTGTGTTTCCTTCTTCCCAATCAACTTTTGAATCCTGCTGACTTTGTGAGAAGCATTATGCTTAAACACATTATTTGGCAATTTATTTACCCTCTCTCATTTCAATGTATCTCCTTTCGAAATAAATTGCCAAAATAAAAAGACAAATTGAAAGAACAACAACGATCATGCAGCACTTCACAAAATCCGCTCACCAACTAGTTTGTCTGTTAGCTGGTGTGTAGGTGCTTTGTTGTCTGACTTGCGGTGTGTAGTTGGATTGTGGGGTAAAGGGGTGCCTTTCCCCGAGCACAATATACAGCAGCAGGCCAAGGCAAGCAAGGTGACCCCATGTGTTTCTGATTTGTGCATCATCAGCGCTGCTTCCAAAGCGGTTTCTGAGATACGACAGTGGCAGTTGGTTTGGTCCCACAGCAAACTCTCTGATCTGTCTCAGGAGGTTCATGGTGATCCTGTAGGTATGACCTGGATCATAAAGTGTCCCCTGATTTTCAGAAGTGTCATAATGCTGTGTGATATACACTTCGTCTATCCTCCGGAAAGTTTGCCTTCCTGAATTTGGCTCCCTGACACGAACTATGATCCTGTCCCTGTTTTCTCCTTCATAATCCCTTTGGGGATGCGCTACATAAGGAGGAAGTGGATCGGACGTTTCCTGATGGAGATTTCCAATAGCGTAGTACCTGTATTGATTTCCCCTCTGCCGAGGCAGTGGGTCCAGCAGCCCCTCAAAGTTGCCATAATGATGTGAGCCATAATCCCTACTGTTTGGATCAAAGGTCAGACTTATGACATCGTTATCGTCAATAGTAACTGTGTTGGCAAACCAGTGGAGCAGCAGAAGACTGTGCTTGGGCACAGATTGGCCGAAGTTGATTTTCTTCAAATCACTGATTGATTTTAGCTTCTTCTGTACAGCTGACACAGAGGTCAGGGCGAGGAGCAGAGCTACACAGCACCACGTGACACTTCCTGATATCTTCATCATCCTGTATCAAAGTGACATGCAATTTAGATGTCCAAAGGCCTTTATGGAGTAAAAACAAGGAAATGTTTATAAAAATCAGATTTATAGAAACTAATAAAATCTGTTTATCAAATTATACAAATAGTTATTCAACATTTTAAAAAGTGTGTGACATTCTAGTCTAATGATCAGATATTCGTCTGGACCTTTTTGATGAAATGCAGGAAATCAAATTAAAAAAACTAAATTAGCTCTCACAAGTATGAGTTGTGTCAACAATATATTTAAACAAAAAATAACATGAATTGAGTTATTATACTTCAGATCTTAGATCACAATATTGAGAGGTTTAATACAGTAGGTCTGTCTTTTAAAATAACAATGTTGTCATTTGGGAAATAGCTAAAAAAGTGATATCATTTAGATTTAATCCAAATGTGTTTATTTAATATGAATACACAGTCCTCATTCTGTTTAAATATGCATTTGTATATTGATTGTTGTTATTGTGAGGCTTCAGCAGAGTTAATCAAATCAACTGATGATTTCCGTCTACTTAGTTCAAAAGTAGTTTTTACTCAGCAGTTCCTTGTTAAGCTGCGATGCAGAGCAAGTGCCACAGAGGAGACCACTAAAAAAAACGTTACCAATATTGTGAAATAGTGCCCAAGTAAATAATTAACAGGAATAATGTTTACAAAATGACAGTACTAACCTGCTTTAGTCAGTTGCCTTAAAGTATCTGGTCTCTGTAAATCTGTGAGTGCATGCAACACCACTTATTTGGTTTCAGGTTTGCAGTAAATGTAACGGATGTTGCTGCTGGTTACAGGATGCTTGATCAAACAGCTGATTGGATGAAATGTATTCAAGAAAAGGGAAGTGGTACAGCCTCTCAGGGTTTTGTTAGTTTATAGAGGGATGATTCTGTAAAGAGAAGTCATTTTGTTTATGTGTGTTAAGTTCCACAGTGAGTCAAAGGACTTTTTATAGTGTCAAGCTTATTATTAAACTGTATTCACTTATTGCAGAATCATTTCTTCATTTATATTGCTTAAGTGACCTTTTATTGAGAAATGCGCCCTTGCTGTATAGAGCAAAGGACAGCCAGGATCCTTCAGTTATCACAACAACAACTCGCCTGTTTCAATTGTATTAAGGCTTACAGTTACTCTTTAGAAGGGGCTTTGCCTATCTGGATTACAGGTGGGTGCAGTCTCAGGTGCCAGCTGTCAGCTCTTCTGAATCCTCTGGTCCCTTTACATGTCCACAAAGATTCCCATTTTTTTTATATGCCAGTTCAAGATAATTGCATCGCAGCTGAGAAGGCCACTGCCAGAGCCACGCCCCTTTTGGCTTCAGTTCAGCTCTTCAGTCTTTGGGGTTGTCTGAAGAACAAAGACACATTCAAATGTCTGTACTGTATGATTCTAATCCAGTTTCGTTTAACTACAAATGAAGACACCGATATCAATCTGACATAAACTATAGTTTATTCAATCCATTTTACAACACAACTCATTTAATGAAATACACCCGTTATATTTTTAAGTCAATACATTATTTGTGAAAGCTTTCATAGCACACAGCTTAAGATGTGTGTTGTATTATCACTAAAACTTCAATCCCCGCTACTGCAATATCATGCACACAATCATAATATACCCTACTTAGACTCTTCCCTAACATGTTTGTACATGAGTTAACATGTTTGTATTTTATGAATTAACTGTTGACCTGTAATTTAGGGTTGTGTGTGTATATGTATATATATTGGATTAACACATTATTTGCACTTTATCGTTATCCTAGACTTTTATATTTGCACTCTTCCCACTTTGTATTGCAACTGCTGCACCAATTAACTCGAAAAAAAAAAAAGTTTTAACTTACAATATCATATCTTTCCTTTAGACCAAAAATATACTATGATACACAATGCAATTAAACATATGCATGCAATACAACAAATGCAACAAATACAACGGAACGACCTCCGGACGTTGATCCGTGGTACTGCGATGATGTTTCCTGTTGTCCTGATGGCTTCGTGGTCTTCAGCGTCGTTGATATTCACCACAACGTCACCAAAGCTTGGAAGAATTCTAGGAATATAGCTGTTTATCCCATTCCAAGGATTTATTTCGTTTTCCGGGCGGTTGTTCTGTTGGTTAGAGGAGGGCTTTTCCTGGAAAACGATATACAACAGCAGTCCAAGGCAAGCAAGTTCACCCCATGTGTTTACAATGTCGAAGCCATCAGCGCTGCTTCCAAAGCGGTTTCTGAGATGCATCAGTTGCTGTTGGTTTTGTCCCACTGCAAACTCTCTGATCTGTCTCAGGAGGTTAATAGTGATCCTGTATGTGTGATCTGGATCATAAGGTGTGCCCAGATTTTCATTAGTGTCGTAATGCTGTGTGATAAACACTCTGTCTATCCTCCGGTGCACTCGCCCTTCTATGTTTGGGTCTCTGACTCGAGCTATGATCCTGTCCCTGTTCTCTCCCACATACTGCCTTCGGGGATGCACTACATAAGGAGGAAGTTGGATCGGTGCTTCTCTATAGAGATTTCCTATAGTGTAGTAGCGGTGTTGATTTCCCCGAGGCAGTGGGTCCAGCAGCCCCTCAAAGTTACCATAATGGTGTGAGCCATAATCTCCACTGTTTAGGTCAAAGGCTAGCCGTATAATATCGTTGTTGTCGATGTCGATCTTGTTGGCAAACCAGTGGAGCAGCAGAAGACTGTGCTTGGGCACAGATTGGCGAAAGTTGATTTGCTTCAAATCATCGATTGAATCGAGCTCTTTCTGTACAGCCGACACAGAAGTCAGGGCGAGGAGCAGAGCTACACAGCACCAAGTGATTCTTCCTGATATCTTCATCATCCTGTATAGGTATTTCAAAAAGATTCAATTATTTATCCATACTGCAATTTGATGTTTTGATCAGTAAGGTAGCCATATAAACATTTGAAATGGTTTTGCTTGTGGTTATCAACCCTCCTGGTCCTTCTAAGCAATACGATTTTGGCCAGTATTGAGAAGAAATTCAAAGTTCTTTAGCAATTCATTAAAAATGAGAGTATCTGCCAAAGTTAGTCTTTTTAATACAACATTCCCTCCTCATGTTTCAATGAACCTTGTTCCCTTGTTGGGTTGTGATGAAGGGAGAGTACCACAAAGAGGAACATACACATAAACAAAAGACTTGAGTGAAGTTATTCACCAATCTTTTGAAAAAAAATGTAATCAGGAAATGAAATGGCTTACCTGCGTTAGTCTGCTGTCGTCAAATATTCGATCTCTGTGATTGTGCCAGGTTAGGTGAATCTCTTTTCTCTGTAAAAGAATTTGGCAAAACAAGTGTTGCTGGTGGTTGCAGGAAATGTGATCATACAGATGTTTAGATAATACTTCCTTCTGTATTCTTATAAAGAAAACAAGAACTTCCTTTCGGGGCTTTGTTACAAGCTATGTGTCTGTACAAATCAGAATAATGAGCAGGTTTATGAGGGATCAGCCTGTCAGGTCCCTACGCGTAAGCATGTCCTTTGGACTGCAGGGTGGTAATCTTGGAGATTTTATACTGGGGCCTGGTTTATTATTAGCCAGTATTTACTCGTCACAATTACATTTCAAATTGCATTAAATAAATGTTGCATAGGCTGATGTTTCGTTAATATTCTTTAATAAAAATGTTTGTGGTGTAATGTTCTAAAGTCAAAGTGACTCTTCCATATTTTCTCTCAACCTATTTTTACTATGAGTGTCCTCTTGAATACTTAAGTTGCAATATCTGTGTCACCACTCTTGATCACCACATTTGAGGGATCTATTGCTTAAAAGTGAAGTGAACTGGTATGTGATGCAGTTTTCCCTTTTTTTGTAATGCCAATAGCCAGATAAAAATTGGGGTACATTTATTAAGTGTGTTGTTCAGTCTTAATATGATACGTTGATATTTTCATTGTTTACTACTCACAAAAAGCCAGTTCAACAACTGGCAATTATAGAATAAGAAATGTATAAGTTGGACCAACACCAGGTGGTTATTTAAAAAAACAACTAGATATCAATTTGCTAAACTGTATCTGTCTCTTGTGATTATCTGAAAAATTAGGAACAGTTAAAGCTGTCCTCATTTTGCACCTCACTTACCATACTTCAGTTTCTTTGAAATAAAATCACTTTCATCAGTCTGGCTGATAAATGATAGTTTAATAAACATAAACACTTTCAAACATTACAGAAAAATCCATCAATTAAAATACACTCCTGCCTTTCACTGTTCAGGGTTAGTGATTGTTGATTTCATATACCTGGGCGGCCCGCCCAAGTAAAGTCTGTGTGGGAAACCCTGGTATGGGAGGGTTGACAGCTGAATAGGCTCACCTGGGCTTTTTTGAATGACATTGTCCCATGAATAAAGATTTGGCCTTTCATCAAAAGCATGTCATAACAACCCATTATCTCATTCTTAACTACTGTATACATGTTTTACAAAGAGAGACCATGGTACACGATAAAATCAAATATTTTGAGGCAAAACAAAGCAAATAACAAGACAACCCTTTACTGAAGGGTTTTTAAAATCATTGCTTGTTTTAGATAATGCATTTTTTACTCTCCCTAATTAATTGTAATCTAAATTCCCAATGTATTAGTTTTTTCTCCTCGTCTGTTTTGGTTTTGTTGGTTTTATTACATGTTTTGCCGTGAATGTGTTGGTATTGTCTCACCCTGTAACTTCTGAAAAATAAAAAAATATTGAAATGAAAAATAGAAAATAAAAAAATAAAATGCATGTTTAAATAAGAAGTATACAAACAATACAAACATAATGCAGATCACAAAAGCATCGTCATCAGCCTTGTTATTTTGTCTGTTTCCTAAAATGTAGACATTTTGTGGGATGGGTTTGTTCTCTGCTGTAATGTTGTTTTGTGGTTTAGGGTCCTTTTGCTTTAGGCACTTTTGTGGTGTATGGATTATTTGTGGTTTATGGATTATTTGTGGTGTATGGATACTTTGTGGTGTAGGGATTATTTGTGGTCTATGGATGCTTTGTGGTGTAGGGATTAGTTGTGGTTTATGGATTATTTGTGGTGTATGGATACTTTGTGGTGTATGGATGCTTTGTGGTGTATGGATGCTTTGTGGTGTATGGATGCTTTGTGGTGTATGGATGCTTTGTGGTGTATGGATGCTTTGTGGTGTATGGATGCTTTGTGGTGTATGGATGCTTTGTGGTGTAGGGATTATTTGTGGTCTATGGATGCTTTGTGGTTTAGGGATTATTTGTGGTGTATGGGCAATTTGTTTTACGCATTTTTGTGGTGTAGGTTTGATTTGTGGTGTATGATTGCTTTCAGCTCTGATGTTGTCTTCTGGTTTGTTGTAGATTTTTGATCGGTTGTTCTGTTGCTTAGAGGAGTGCTTTTCCTGGATCACAATATACAACAGCAGTCCAAGGCATGCAAGTTCACCCCATGTGTTTACAATGTCCAAATGATCAGCGTTGCTTCCAAAGCGGTTTCTGAGAGGCATCAGTGGCTGTCATCAGCCACTGATGCCTCTCAGAAACCGCTTTGGAAGCAACGCTGATCATTTGGACATTGTAAACACATGGGGTGAACTTGCATGCCTTGGACTGCTGTTGTNTGCTTGCTACAAAAGGAAAACTTTGAATTGAAGAAAACTTTTCTTCAATTCCTGTATTTTTTCATATCGCTATATATATATATATATATATATATATATATAAAAAAAATATATATCGCAATATCAGTTTTTTCCAATATCGTGCAGCCCTACCTCAGACGCTGTTTCTTGCAAAAATGTTGCCACATTTAATGTATGTGTTATGGGGCTTAACTGGTTAACCTGTTTCAATGTTGATTGAAGGATAGCCAAGTGGCCATGGTAAGGATATACCTCCAGAAGTAATCCTAACCTTTAGGTGTAAGAAACAATTATTAAGATAAATAAAATAGACAATGTCATGAAAATCATCAGATGCAGCTCTAGTTACACGTTAATCTAGTTGTGTATGTATTGAGAATGTTCAGCATGAATAAATAATGAATAATATTTATACAGGATGATGAAGATATCAGGAAGAGTCACTTGGAGCTGTGTAGCTCTGCTCCTCGCCCTGACCTCTCTGTCGGCTGTACAGAAAGAGCTCGATTCAATTAGTGATTTGAAGAAAATCAACTTTGCCCAATCTGTGCCCAAGCACAGTCTTCTGCTGCTCCACTGGTTTGCCAACACAGTTAACATCGATGAGGATGATGTCATAGAGCTGACCTTTGACCCAGACAGTGTACTACACTCNTATATATATATATATATATATATATAGCGATATGAAAAAAATACAGGAATTGAATAAAAGACAGTTTTTTTTGTCCGCAAACCATCCTTTCTTGAACTTTAATGCTATACAATTGGTATTTTTCTAACTATATTTAACCGGATGAAGGATTTTATTCACGGACGTCTGGATCTTAAGTTATCAGAGCAACAAGCTGAGCTAGCTCGGTTAGCAGCGCCAAACTGCCCTGGAGAAACACATGAAACTACTTTATTCAGTGTTTTTACCTTTAATCACCAGGTTTGTTTGCTTTGGAGATTTGATTGTGATTGTTTGTTTGTTTTTTTGCACGGACACAACAATTTACATTTTTTTACTATGTTCAATCTGAATTTACTTTAAAATAAAAAAAATCTATATTGATTCTGACTTTTCTACATCCAACTCACAGGTTTATCATTGCTTTGAGAAAAAAGATGATTAATTTACCCCTTTTTTAGAAGTGAAGTCATTTCAAATATTCATTTGTTCTGGGAATGTCCTTTTCGAGCCTGAGGCCTGAAAAACGGGCTTAACAGGTTAAACTTGATAAGAATGATGATGATAACGATATTATGTTTTTTCCTGCTTATAAGTGACAACCAAAGCCAGTAAAATGTATTTGTAAGTGTATCTAAAGTAATAATGAGGCTTCAGCAGCATGATTTATAAAGTGAAATGTGTATAAGTTCTAAGTGCCAAATACCCTCTTCAGTTCAAAGAGACAGCATTTCCTTGTTCAGTTGCAGTGAAGGAAAAGAAAGGAACACAAAAAGAAAAGATCATTAAGAAAAAAAACTTGACTTCAAATCTTCATCAAAATGCGGAACAGTGCCATAGTTAATACTATAAAGTTTAAACAACACAAGTAATCACAACAAACAACTCACCAGCTTTAGTCTGCTGCGGTATCAAATCTCTGTTGATTTGAAAGTGGGTGTGTCTCACCTGGGATACCGTGTCGCTATAAATACAACTTGAAAAAGGGTTGGCTGGGGTGTGGAAGGAAGGTTACAATAGATGACTTCATTTTATGACTTCATGTTTTATTTTTTACAATATGAAATATTGGAATGAAGTTTCAGATTTACATTTTTTGTAATATATACCGTACATATATATTTCGGACTATGCACAGTAGAGTGATCCAGCAAATGAGGGTTGTGAGATGAAGATGACCTGAAACACATTTTTCACAACTGGATTTGAACCAAGGGTGTGGTGGTTTTAGACCATGTGGTTAGAAGGTCCCAGAGCTTATTTTGTTTTTAAAATGTTATACTGATTCATCAAAAAGGTTTCTATTCATAGGGGGTGATATATTCCTTTTTTTTAACAATCTTAGTCAGTCTTCGCAAAATAATTGAAACTTCTTGTGATGCCCCTTTTCAACAGTTGACAAAATATAGTTAATCTAAAATGATGTTTGGACCAAAACTGTAGGCCTATAGACTTATTTTCTAAACTATGTGTGACTCTACCCTGATTCTCAGTAGGAGGAATAGTTCAAGCTGTGAAACGATGATGTTCAACTTCCCTGTACAGCTGCCTGCACATCTGCAACTCCACCTGCAACCAGCAGAAGGTGCTGTCTCACAGGTGGTCGGCCTCACACACCTGGAAGGTGTCGAGCCTGGAGGTTGTGTAAACCTTTAGTCCATTAAACATCACTTAAAGGAACATTATGGTAATCAGCTTTTTAGCAGTTGGCATGGCTTTTGAAAATATTTTGAACCAGAAGTGTATATATAAGTGGATTTCTGTGAAGCCTCAATAAATACATTCAGATGCTAACACACAGACACACACTCAAGCTTATCTTGATCTCCTATATGGAGATGTGTATACTTCCCATGGGAAAGGCAGAAAAAAGAACAAAACGCACACAAAAGAAAGCTTGAGTTTCTCTGTGGTCTCCACCCACATCTTTCACATGGGCACAAGAGCATAATTCAAAGGATGCTGTATACCAATACTCCCTTGAGTATTTTTCCATATTTTTATCATAAAAGTCTTACATTTTGAAAAATAAAAGCATCCCAATTCACTGCAATGCTTATTTAGCAAACCTGCAGGGCACAAGATGGCTTCCTTTCGTCCTTTTTTATTATATGTTGTATTTTTAATTATGAAACAATGACTTCACTATGCACTCTCTCTGTAGGGTTATTATTACATATAATGCATCCAATGAGTCATTCTTTCTCTATCCATCATGATTCTGTGTCAAGACCTTGTACAGCTGCAAGGAACGCTGTCAGGGGTCAGCCAGGCAGCCTGTCCTCCGCCTGCCAATACATGACACCATCTTGGCTCGGCACAGCCTAAAAACAACAGCCCCCGCCATAGGCTTTCTGTCGCTTCATCCCCCGTCTCCTCCAAATCTGTTTTATCTGAGATGGCCATGTCCACAGCAGGGCAACAACTCTAGAATAAAGGTGCAGGCCAAGTCATGTCGGAGCAAACAAATAATGGCTGCCTCACTCTGCATGCATGCAGGGTTCACCCAGGAGTCAGTGACTCTAAGAAGAGAGGAGGGAATAGAAATCTATTATTTTGTATCAAACAAAAGTGGTTTTTAACCTATTAATAACATCTGTCTTCACAGATGTTATTAATAGGTTAAAAAAGCACTTTTGTCAGCATGTCAGTTGCATAGCTTTAGAGTTGTTACAAAGTTAGAAAATCGGGGTATGTCTGGTTTCACGACACAGATCTGAACTCTCGAGCTCAGTGACTTTGAGTTATTGGTGTGCAGGGAAGGTGGTAAAAAAGTTGGGCTCCAGAGAGGCGGCGCATCTGAAAAGAGGCACAAAAAAAATAATGTTTAGAGCTCAGAGTTGGCAAGTTATGTTTGCACATGGACGTTCAGGCTTTTCATTTCTCTTTTTAAGCATTCGGCACCTCCGAATCACAGGTACAGCTTCCATATTCAATTGATTGAGTTTGGGTGTTAAATGTTTTGAATTGAGGGGCAAAGGCCAATAAGATAATGCTGTTATTTTCCTCTGTAGCGTAGAAGGTACTTTTTTCTTATCTTTTTCATTTCCTCACACTGTGGCCTGCTTTATCTATGTGAAGATAAGACTAGCACAGTGCTTGTATAATATCCTCCTGACAACATTTTATATCTGCATCATCCACAAGTAGCTTTGTAGTTTGCTGTTTGTTGCCAAAAATGGAGCTGAGGTGATTTAAAACGGAGTGTAGCAAACCCACTTTAGCAGCATCGGAACATGCTGTCATTGTTATCTACATTTTAGTATCTCCAGTTTAAACACCGGGCTTTTATTGGGGCGATAAAGTGGAGTTTCAGAAAGGGGGAGATGAAAAGAGAGAAGGCAAAGACAGAACGGTTTTAGACAGGCTGTAGTTTGGGGAAAATGGACCGGTTCCCACATTGTAAAACTAAGTATAAAAAGGGTTTATTTTAACTCCCTATTTGGTAAGAGCTGGTTTTTGTCACACTTACCATCTGTGTTTGTGTGTTGGGTTATGGTATCTTGTGTTTTTTATATATTGCATGTTGAAAAAGTGCAGAATTCCGAAGGCCCAAAACAAACCTTCAGATTGGTTAGATGGAGATGTTATATACTCTGCACTGACTGCAGCTGGCCTTTAACACTGAGGGGCCGGCGTGTGCAGGGAGAACGGTTTATCTTGGCAGAAAAGACTGTGTGTATGTTTGTAATTAAAGAAAACAAATCAATTTTTCTAGCCTGTTGTGCCTGCTTTTTCAGAAACATGACTCTTCATCTCAAGGTATTCCAGGTGCTGCCCTGTGTGTGTGCATATGTACGTGTGTGTGTACGTGAGTGTGTGTACATCTGTGTGTTCATGTGGTCGTAAGGTTGCAGTCAAGCCCCTGCACTGGTGTATAATTACACTTCCTGTGAGACTGGAGACAGCTGCTTGCTCTCCTCTTTAATCACACAAATAAATACTCTATAAGAATAGTAATCAGCCAAACTAATTGGTTTGTTCCCAGGTTTTTAGAAAGAAGTAAGTGAAGGCTGCCTTTCTCACTGTTGAACAAAAACAATCTGCACATGTGGAGGCACTTTTGAGTTGTAATGTCCTTCAACTTTCATTTCTTCTCTTTAGGTTCCCCTATAAACTATGATGTTGTCGGAAAAAGGTGACTTTATTTGCTGCCGTCTTTTTTAAAGATTATAAATGACTGCATGCTTAAGCATTGCTGGCTTGGCTCTCTACTCTATTTGTATAGTGATAATACGTTTTTTTTAAATCGTGTTCATCAGTGAGATGAAGTGAGAATGTTTTGGCAGGGTTATTGGCTATTGCCAAAACATGTCTGTTTAGTTGCTGTGGAATTATGCAATAGCTCAACCTTTTCAGCATTTGTTTCCTTTTTGAGAAATAACAAATGTCTCCATATCCTGTGCTTGTTCTCAGCAGCACCCACAAAAGCCTAAACACAGTTCACTGAAGGAAAGTAATGCATTTGGAATGTTAAACTGACATATTGCTTCTATAGGTGCTTTGTGAGATGTCTAGCACCAACATTTTTTGTAGTTTCATGAAAACTAAAAGCATAGTTGATCAGAGCACCTCCAAATGAATGACCAAGGGAATCCCAGTTTGATGGGACGTGTCTCAGGTCCGTGTGAGAGGAATGAATGGGATGTGGTGAATGCAGAGCCTGAGGAGCAGATGAGAGGGTCAGGTCAGATAATTAGGGTTGTAAATGATTCCCAAAGTTTAAGACAGGGACATTCAGCTGGCCCAAAGGCTCGTTCAACATCAGTGAGTGCAGATGTATGCACACACAGATCTGCTTTAGTCTCTCTATCAAGTAATGCCACAACCTCTCTATGTTAAGCTCATTTAGTTAGTTTACCATTACAACATGTTTAAATATGCTACTTTTTCATAGTAAAAGATCACTTTTTTGGTGCATAAGGGTTTTTTTTTTTTTGCTTGCAAGAGGGTGGGTTTCAAGAAGGAAGTGGGCGTGTCTTGTGGCCTTTCGTGCTGAGTCACATGACAGGCCTCGGTGGGAGGGGCAGGCGGGGAGCTTCCACAGCAGCTAGGCCTCTCACTGGAGTGCTGCACTTTGGCAGGGGACACACTAGCACATAGTTCACACACGGTGAGTGTTTTGCATACAGTCGGGTATGTGTGCGCATGGTTGTGTATGAGTGTGTTTGTAAGAAAGCAATCCCAAGTAGAGGGAGTACATGTTGTTTCCTTTATTTTTTCTATGTTGCGCCTCTTCCCTGTAAAAAGAGATTTGATCCTCTGTTATTTTCACATTCTTGACTTGATGGATATCTCTGCATGCCTTCCACGCGTACCTCGGGAGCACAGCTGTTTATATGTGTCTTAAAGTGACTGTTGTTTTTAGTAGCTCGCTGTCAGGATTGATATGCAAATTGCTGTGTAGTCGTGTTGGCTGCACTGTGAAAAAACCCTTTGGTTTCAGGTACAGGAGTGAGTGTTACAGTTGTTGCACTCAGGATTAGCATGTTTTGCATTTGCATGTGCATGTTGGTAATTACTTTTGTTGAAGTTTTGCATTCCCTATGTCTTTCATCTCCTATATATTGTGTACGTCTGCTCTCTGGCAAGCTTTGTGTTCAGCTAGGCTACATATGTGTGTATATATACTCACAGAGGGATGTTCCATCATGTTGTAGCCCCTACTGTATAAGTTCACTTCTCTTTCTTCCCTCCTTACATTGTCCATACACTGCACGCTGCTTTGTGACAGTGATCCATTACCAGATCATGTAGCAAGCACTCAGACGTTTGTGTTAGCTCCACACATGTGGTTAGCAGGCTCCTTAGAGTATAAAAGGTCATCATTTAGTTTAACTATTGCTTTGGAAAGTACAGTGAAAGATTATGTTGGCTGATGATAATTGGTTAAACAAAATATTTTTTCCTTTCAAGCAGGAAAGACTTTGTATCAAATTTGGACCAAAATCAAAGCATATTCTCTTTATTTTTTAGCTTTTTGTTCATCCCATACATCTTCAATTTCACTTTTAAGTACATTTTCATAATGTCTTGTTTTTTTTAATGAGTCTTTCTGCCAGTGTTTGAGTGAGAAAGTAACTGTCTGAGCTCTTGGCCTACTGGCAGCTATTGGAACAAAGCCGAATCTCTGCATTGTGTCATCCAGGCTTTGTTGTCTGGTGTTGACCTGAGGAATACAAGGCCCTGCTCTCTGATAATATCAAACAGATGGAAAACAGCGACCACCCTTCACCTTTTCAGAGAGTCCCCCGCCTTGGTTTTGCCTCACAAGCATGCAGGCACACTCACTCTGACACACACAGCTGTTGAAAGGAGCTCTGTTGTGGCCCCTGTGCATTGCCAGACGAGAACAGACCGTGTCCTTTCACCAGTGTTTGATGGGATGCTGAAAAGGTCATCGGTACCTTCTGTATCCTGAATGTCTGTTGCAAGTCTGCCAAATAAGCCAGTGCAGAAAGATTATGTGTCCGTTGTGGAATTCAGCATCATAACTTTGAAATTCAAAATATTTCATGACTGTAACCTGATCGCTGTAATTTAAAATTGATAAGGTTTGGTCTCTGCAGTTTGACGTGTGGCACATTAAAGAATAGCACGTTTTTTTAGTTCATGGATGTGCATGGGCACATGCATTTTGTAGTAATTAAAACAAAGGGTTGTAAAATGTGAGGCATAACAAGTTGTTTTGCTTTACACTTTCACTCAACGTTTAGAAATCATAATATTTACTGCCCCATATTTTTCACAAATAGATACTGTGTAAAAAATAGGTAATACTATAATATATCAACAACAGTCCTTTACTATTTTAGGTATAGAACTTAATCCCCAAATGAAGTGGGTACAACAAAAGGTCAAAAAGGATGTTTTGGATCTTTAAAAATAAAGGTTGTCCTGGGGATTGTTATGCTGTATGGAGAGTTGGTAGTACATTTTATTAAGCTGGTGAAGCTCAGGCATTGTTTACTGTTCTGGTTCTTTAATGGTTTTTAAAGTGCCGATAGAAAGTTGGACGGGTTTTTGTACAGATTCACACAAGTGCACCTTTTTTTTAAGTCGACCAGGAGCTAAAGATACCCAGCTTTCATGACATCATGTATAAGAGCATACTCAATATTCTAATACTGATTTGAGCAACAGCCATATCCCTTTGAAAATGACTATGAGTTGTCTCATGGATGACTACTTACCTGCCACAAGTTCTGCAGACGTCTCACCTCTGTGTGATATGACATGTCAAAATATTTCTACAGGAATAGTGCCTGACAAACGACTGCATGTTAAAATCTTGTTTTTTGAGTTTGACGTCTGACTGTTGATGTGTGGTTAGGTAGGTTGGTTATGTGTGAAGACGGAGGTCAGATTCCTGAGCCCCCTGGTCCCGTAGACCAACACTTGCTGTCAGCCGACCATTTCACTGATACACTCTGACCTGCCACTTAGATAAAGAACTGCACTAGATAGCTACCACAGTCGGGCTAATGCCTTAACTCCTGTCGGTGAGGGGCTAGCACATTATTGCTAGCTAACTTATTATTCCCCTCTATGCAAATAGCCTCAGCACATTAACAACTTCCTGATTCAGTGAGGGGTTGTGTACACACACTTATGGGTTAATGTTTAGCACTTGCTTTAGGCTAGAGTATTGTTTTCTTAGGCCTACAATTCAGTCAATGCAGGAATGTAGTGTTGTGGTGGAATGTATTTTCTTAATCATAGATGTTGTATTAGAAATGAAAGAAATTAGCCCTGGATATTGGAGGTGGTTGATCTGGTTGAGTGCTATTGTTTTGTATATTATTTATGGATTACACTTTGCCTTCTTTTGTAATTGGAGGATGATTTTCTGGTGAGCTGCTTGGTGTCTGAGGCAGTTAAAGAGCCTAGAAAGACAACAGTTCTGTTGTGCACCGCCGCAGTTCAGAGACTGAACACATTCCTCTGAGAGTCTAGACAAACCTGTGGGCTTCTACTGTCATTACCGTAATTTGCTAACAGTTCTTAAGCGTCTGAAAAGTTAGCTGCTGAAGCTACTTGCAGGGGCATAGATAAATCCCAGTCGTATAAAATACTTGATCAAGTAGCATCCGTTTGTAGCTGAAGGGAGGGTACACGTAGTTATCATACATGCCCTGACATTCATGCATACAGAGGACAGTTAGTGTAAGAAGGACATGCATAAAACTGGTAATTAAAAGAAGAGAGCATTACACACAAGTGACACACAGACGGCTGCACTCATTGTTCTGTTAGGTGACACGATGAGCGAGTCGGACCCTGCAGGGGTCAAAGGGCACATTTCTCCAGAGAGCTCAACGATGAGGAATCTGGGAACTGGGCCTTCCTGCACAAACACTGTGACTTTAATAACACAACTGGCCATGTTTGCACTGCCACCACCCCAATTTCCCCCTTTTTATTAAGGGATTCACTGTCAGGGGGTGGGAAACTGTGTCTGGTTGCATGTGTGCGTGTTTATATCCCTCCCCTGGGCCTGCCCTAAATCCATGTGGTCTGGGGTATCTAATTGATTCTGTGCTGGAGGGCTGTTGGAGCTCTAGTTTACAGTAATTTCATGGCCGAACACACTTTATTCTCTTCTCAGTTTGAACCATATCTCTTCAATCTCTTCTCAGTTTGAACCATATCTTCCTCTTAGAGGAAATCAACCATTCAAATGATCAATTTAGTAGATTAGTCCACCAGTTTGGGTTTGACATGGAGCTCTAAATAAGAAGTTGAAATGTGTGAGTTCAAGCTGCCTCCCTACATTGAAAGATGTGATTAATAATAATAATAATAATAATAATAATAATAATAATAATATAGTTTTAAGAATGAAGTGAGTGAATCAGTCTCCTGGATATGAACCCTTCTCTGCCAAAGTTTCCAGTCTTTTTCTTTCTCTGGATTCCTCTCGTGATTCGAGTCAGTTTGTACACAGGGTCAAACCACTGGTTTGTCATAAAGAGACTAACCTCAGCGCCACTCTTTTTCGACCTAAACTGGGAACATGACCTCTGACCTCCTCGCCACGCTGTCAAGATCAACACCCCGGACAGCTGAGGCATGGCGCGGTGGTTTTGACCACATCTCCACTAAACATAGACAACACAGTTGCAGTGCTCTTGATAGTTCTTCTTTTCTTTGAAAAGGCAACAAGCAGGGACGAGTTAAACGGGTTTCAACTGTATTTACATCCCTGTTTGAAGGCATGTGTGTAGTTAGTGAGGAATTACCCAAAAGTGGATTGAATCACAAAGTATTCTGCACATTGTTTCCTCCCCTCCTCCTCCTCCATTCCACACTCCTTCCTCTGTCCTTTTTTCCTGACCTCGTTTGTGTTAACCTCCCCCTACTCAGGAATACATGTCCTATTTGATTCTCCTCTTTATCTAATGCTTATCCCCAGACTCATGCCTTAACCAAACGTTCCTGCCTGCTTTGACCCTCCCCCTCCCCCCTTTTGTCTCCCTTTTTTTCTCTCCAAAATGCTTTTGTTGTAAAGAAAAATGCCTGCCATATTTACAAAAAAGAGAAATCTGATACTGCTATTAGAAAGAAAAAAAAATCCTTTAGTGCCTGTATTTGAAAACAGAATCACAGCAAACCCAGTAAGTCATACTCTGCAGTCCAACTCCTGCAATTAATGTTGACTCAATTGAAACACATTGTCAATAACTGGACCTGATACAGAATACAGGAGAGCTGAGGGATGATTAACTCTTAAATCAATGATGTATGGTGGGCATGTGAGGTGATTTACTGCCCAAAAAACGCAGTTTAACATCTTAAATATTTCTCTGCAACATGAAAAAAGTGAAATAATATGTGACAATCAAGTTCTTCAGTCATTTGACGTTCTGTAATCAATACTCTAAACTGTTATTCACTCAACTCTACAGAAACGCATGGATCAGGGTTGCATGGATGTGGCTTGACAAGGCATGGCAACACAAACAAATAAGCAACATTTGCTTCAAAATGTGATGACAGTGTTGGGGTTAGGATGTGAATAGAAATACATTAGCATTCCCCTTCCAAGTCTACTTCAAGCCAGTAAGAAGATCCCAAAGAAAACACAAAATACAGAACATTGCTCAAACAAGTTGCCACAATTGTTGACAGACAGAAACTCAAAGTCAACTTTATTTTAAATACCTCTATCTCACAATTCATGTAAAACTCTTTCGCTCAAAGTAAGTATTTCAATACGATTTCAAGGCCCTTCAACCGATTGAATAACTGCTATCATTTTATTGATATAGTCACTGAACACTGCTTTTAAGCTCCTTTTTTTATTTGGAAGAGGTTAAGAGTTGGGATTTGGTTTTATAGAATGGTATTACTATTAGTCCTTTTGAATCCCTGTTGTCCTGTAGGTAGTTTCTTTGGTGGGACATGAAGGTAAACCCTAGTTAAGCTGTCAATTTAGTCCCTGCTCTGTGACTTTTAGTAACCCAGTCCTGACGTGTTTTGCCCCTCACTAATACACGCATCTTAAACATCACATGGATTTGAAGAACTTCTCACATCAGTTGACCTGAGAAAGTCTATCAATAAGTCTATCTACCTATTCAGATACCTGACGTTCCTAAAGTATGTGGTGTGTTCTTATCCCTATTTGACCTAGCACTCATTTTGACTGTGCTGAATAAGGTCAGGGTAACGTCCAGCAGCTGGTTAGCCGCTAGGGCCAGACCTTTTTTTCATGTTGAGGTCAAATGTCTTGAGCGTTGGAGGGTCATGCTTTAACCCGCTGTCTCCTGACACCTGTGTTCCCTGGCTAAACCCCATTGTAGCACTTTGGCTGGACTTTGTGCTGAAGCTGCCAGTGTGAATGCCTCTTGAGTGATACATGGTCAGTTTATCCAGATGTTTTACAGTAGGCTACTCCCGAGTCCTTCACCAGCCTGGTTTTACTCTCACTCAAAACAAAGGTATTGACGCAGTACCCTTCTCACTGTAGTTTACTGAAATCGAGGACACAGGACTGAAAAGGTTTACTGCCTGTAGTGAAAATGATGGATTTGCATTGTTTGGTAGAGCTGGGTTTCCCACAGTAATGCTCCCGCACTCTGTGTTCTTCAGTGTGTGTTGTCTGTTTGCCAAGTCTTTTACGGTGTTTGACTCCTCTTTGACTTGGGCAAATGGGCGGTGTGCACTGAAGGACGTCAACGACGCTCTGAAGAGTCTTGCTGCTTCTGTCCGGGAAACCAGCTAGTTAGGATTCAGGATACGCAGACATCTCTATTCTTTTCACTCTGCCTTGGGTGGCTTTCGCTATTTCCATTCTCTCTAGGAGAACAGTGTGTGTTTACGGTTTGTTAAAGGGAACATACACTGTTAACTGAATAGATGTGGGTGGTAATGTTCTCGGAACCCTTTTGAAACAAGGAAATGACACTTATTTCAGGACAAGACCTTAGTTTTAAAAACAGGTACTGTGACATAAAGCATTCAAAGCTAGACAAACTGCCAATAATAGCGGCCAGATTACAGCGCCAAAAATACTTAGCCATGACTAAAAAAACTAAAGGGATATTGTATCACTGATTTGGTGAGTCTACAGTAGATAACATTTTCTCTAAATGATTCTATTAATACCTTCTGTAAAAGTCTGTAGAAATATAATGAGCAATGTTCATCACAATTTGCCGAAGCCAAGAGCAGTGTCTTTAACTGGTAATACTCAGGTTACTCTCAACAAGAGATGCAGCAAATTCTCACAATCAAAAAACTGGAATAACTTAATATTGCACATCCTTCAGCTCTTAAGATTTGTTCTTGTCCAGTCAGTGTGTTCAGAGTATCTATCATTATTCAAAAGAAGAAAGACCAGGTTAATTTTGTTCTAGTGTTTTGCAGCTGTAGTCGCTGTTGGGGGATATTTGAGTACACACTGAGGCTGATTTATCTCAAGTGTCTGTAAACTCCATTCGTTTTATGTCCATTCTCTTTGATGCTGGCATCCTGCCTCAGGTTAGGCTCTCTTGTCGCAGCATTGCCTGTCAAGGTGTGCTAGCCCCTGGCCATCAGTTCTGTTTACAGCACAGAGAGAGAGAGAGAGAGAGAGAGAGCAACAGCGATGAGGGAAGGATGAAAAGAAACAGTTTGTGCGAGGTAGAGATAAAGGTAATAAAAGAGGTGACTTCATTGGAGTTTGGTAAAGGAAGTAAAATGTAATGTTCAGGTTAAAAGCCAGATTAACAGTGGGAGGGAGGAAGAAGGCGAAGTTTTAAAAACAGGGGAGTCACACAGGAGAGACAATAGAAAACTAAGAGATGGCTTAGAGAGGGAAACTGATGACAGATGAGATAGGACAGTATCAGTGTGTGGAGGGAGGAAAAGGGGGAGAGAGAAAAGACCAGAGGTACGGGGAGGTGCGGAGGGGGGGTGGAGGGCAGTAAGTCGCAGTAAGTTGCTGACTGACTGCTGGAACAGGATGGGGAAGTGGTGAGGGAGGCCAAGAGAGCTGCTTCCATAGGTGGGTCTCCATGACACATTAACACACACACAATGGAGCACATTATAAAAAGTAAGACTCGATGTTGAGCATGAACTTGGCTTGAGTTTCCACAGCTGTGTTATTCTTGACTGGATTTCTTCCATTAATCAAGGCAGTGCCAGTTTGAAGTGTGTGGATTTTCTTCTCGTCACTCCCTGTTGATTTTAATTCCCCGAGCGGTACGAGCGAACCAGCTCGTGTTCTGGACTTCTTCTCCTTGTGGCAGGCCAAGTGTTGTGGAGGAAAATCTGTGCCTGAGCTGGAACCCACTAGCTGTCTCATTCTTGGCTGACGGTCCGCGTGTGTGTGTGTGTGTATTCATGTTTTCACGGGCTTGTACATGTGTGCAGGTCAGCTATTTGATCAAAAACAGGCAAGATTATGTGTGTACGAGGTCCACTGTGTTTTTAAAGCCCTAACTCAAGCATGAACTCTGGAGTGTGTGTGTGACTGTGACCCAGGCTAACTGGCTGAGCGGATCAGGTTTCAGCCTCAGCGGTCTCCCTCTTTTCCACTCTCACATGAACAGGACAGTAACGCTGCACTGTGCAGAGCGAGGATAAGGGAGGCCTTGTGAGGGGGAGCAGCTGCACGAACTACTGTACATGCAGACACAAACATACACACTGTAAATTCTTCACCTTCGCTGACTTTGTTAAGCAGAGTTTCAGCCACTTTCCGCATGCACTTTGAGTTTTAAAAGACCTTCGTAGAAATAAGACATGTTGAATATTCATCTTACAATTGGACTCACGTCTGAAGGCATTCCACAGGAGGACATTAAGATAATTATATCAAAACAAGCTGCAGAAATGATGTCCTGCCAAGTGCAAAGTACTTTAATTCTGCAGAGTATGTTTTCTTATAGTTTTAATTGTTGATTCAAAAGGCTGTGTTTGATTGAGATCATCTATCTGCTCTGTTTGAATGTCACGGGGTGTGTGGTGTTGGATATTTCTGGTTAGTTTTAGCTTGCTTAGCCACTTCGCTCTCTTCAGCTCAATCCTCCGTCAGGTGCATCCAAAGCACCGATGAGGAGGAAGGTTTAATGTGTGTTGTGTTTTTCAAAAATCAAGAAATTACTGATAATGGAAGGAAAATGTCAACATTTTAGGAATTACACTTTTGGGAAATCACAACCATTCCTGATGATGCTAATAGGTTTTCAATGTACTGAGTTTCAAAAAGTGTCCGACTCCTAAATACATTTTCTTTTGTGTCTAACCCTTTTTTGAACGTTTTTTTAAATGTATCGGGGAAAAACACATACAATTCCAAATGTCAACGTTATTTAAAAGTTACATTTAAGATATCAATTGTGATTTACTAAGAAAAAGAGATTAGCAAAAGTTGTCTTGCCACTTATTACCCCCGCAAAACATACACACACTCACACAATTCTGAATAATTAACTGCATCCTTTTTGGTCTTTTAAAAGCAGGACAAATACCTATCTAAAGTGCCTCTAAAATATTACTGTGAACACGAAGGAACGCCCTTCATCCCCTCGCATCACACCTCATCTCATTACCTTCTCTCTCTCTCTCTCTCTCTCTCCTTCCATCAGGGCCTGAGGTGATTCCCAGCTACAGCAGCAGTGCCATGTCTGAGGTGGTGATGCCTGATGCCATGGTGTCCCCAGCAGTGGGAGTCCCGTACGTGGAGAATCCCGGGGGCCCCGTGGGGGACTTCAGCTACGTAGGCATTGATGCCATTCTGGAGCAGATGAGGAGGAAGGCCATGAAGCAGGGCTTTGAGCTCAACATTATGGTTGTGGGTAAGTAGCGCACGTGTACACCAGCTAATGTTTCATTTGTATTGTCCAGATTTGCATAGGTGTGTCAGGTGCCTCACAGCAAGAACGTTCTACGTACTCAGACAGGATATCGAATCATGAAGACAACTTTCTCTCATTCTCTGAGCCTTTTCATCAAGTGCAGACTGCAAAGCTATTTTACATTTAGGACCAACCTGTTACACTTACACTTAAATGTCTGGGGTAAAATATTTTCAGTCAGCTCTTAAAGGATACGTCGTTATTCTGGTATGATTCACTTTTCTCTCTAATCTTTGTCAGAAAATAGAGGCCTCAAACTTATTTTAATAAGCTGCCACACACAGTTAGACTTCAACTGTATTTCCCACTGAAGCGTCTTCACTATCTTCAGACAACTTTTTTAAAACCTGAGCTAATCACACACACACCTAACAGTAAACAGGCCACCATAAAACTCACAGCACCTCCGTGCCGTATGTCTCCTCTGAATGATGTAGCGCCGGTTTGTCTTGTGTTTCATCTTCAAATAAAACGGCTTGTTTGAGAAGCAGCCTCAGGGTTGAGTCTAAGTTATGTCAAGTTGTGGAGGCAATGGTGAGCAAAACTTTCTTTCCCTGTTCAGTTATTTACACCACCTCATGACATCATGCTTTTTAAAGTCAACAATTTGGTTTTCTTTATGCAATTGAGTTCTGAAATTAGCTATAATGACTGCTGACCTTTTTTTTAAATGTTCTATTGGGTAGAGTTGTGTGCAAAAGAGGGAAGAAGGAACCACATCTGTATGTATATGATGTCAAAGACACTTGGATAAGCATATTTGGCTAATCTGAGATGTTAATTATTGTGTCTGGTTTAAAACATGAAAATGTCTGTCTCCACAATCATTTAATGGCAGTCTTAACAGAATCTGCTCTATGGAGCACCACGTTAGCAAGCGTGGGACTTTGGCATCCCTGTAATGATGGTTTGCTAATCGGAGAGTTTCGCAGTGAGACACATGGGGAATGCAGCTGTTACTGAGAGGGTGGAAGCTGTGGCATCAATGCTGCCAATGCATTAGAGTTGATCAAATGTGTTTTTTGTTTTTGTCATGTAGTGATATTAAGCTCTTAAACGTAGTGAATATGAACTCTTTTTTTTAAAACCTGCAGCTGATGTCTTCTATACTGATTGAACAAATCCATGTTTGCATGTAGCGTGTGCCTCTACATGCGCCTGTGTTTGACTTTGCGCCGTCATAAATCAGTAGAGGTCTCAATGTTGACTTAACTGAAGTTAAACTACGCATAGGGCCCCTCCACGCTCCTCTCTATAACCTACGAATAAGTTACATATTAACAGTACATTGCTTGAGTGCCATATCACAGTCTGATACAATGCTTTTATTTATGACATTGTGATGACTGTAAAAGTACATTATGTTATGCAACACATTTAAGGAAGTGTTCACATCATTTCTTTCCATTTTGGATGTCTCATTTCTTAAGCAATGTCACCCCAATTAAAAACTCAAGGTAATGTTGATACAGGATTTTAGTTTGAACTTTTGCATTACCATATCAAAATTATTTTATATTTCTGGTCCCTCATTGCACATTAATCCAAGCCATGTCATTGTTTCAGGGGGAAAACCAGTTCACTTTGGATCCGATTTGTCTTACTGATGGTGTTTGGTTTGCAGTCATGTGTACTGATGGCTTTTCATGACAGTGTTTGTGCAGAGAGACACCTGCAGCTTGTCACGGCTTCAGCCCAAAAACTGACAGCGTGGCGGCATTCAAACTGTCACGGAAAAAAAGAGATTGTGTTTGGGTTTAACATTGTATAGACTGTGAAGTACCTACAGCACAAGCAGTGTAAAAGTTTCATCTTGAAATGTTTCCTTCTCACCGCCTGCCTCTCTGTTTGTGCTTACAGGACAGAGTGGCCTGGGAAAGTCCACTCTGATGAACACGCTGTTCAAGTCTAAAGTCAGCCGTAAGTCAGTGCAGGCTACCGGCCAGGAGAAGATCCCCAAAACAATCGAAATAAAGTCCATCAGTCATGGTACGGCCATCTTGAACCCTTCGACTTTTCATTTGTGCTGTTTTTCTGTCCATCTGTGTCTGCAGCTCTGTCAGCCAAAATACACACATCTCATTCTCTGCCTCTTTATTTTTCTTTTCTTTCCTTCTGTATTTACACTTTTCTCTGTCAGCAATGGCAAAGAAACAGCTACTGCTTGTGTAGCCACTTAAAAAACTTAGTTACCCTTATTTCACTCTACTTTTCTTTAATTCTCTTTAAATTACTGTAATTATGGATGAAACGATTTTTGAATTTAAAATATTCTCAGCCTCATAAAACCAGCCAGGTTTCTAATTTCATAGCTTTGTAGATGAAAAAAAAATACCATTGCTGAGTAATGCTACATTTTTTAACACAGCCTTGTATAGTAGACATTTTATAGTCTAGAGTGTTTTTGACATAGTAGTTTACAGCGAGTGTCTCTGTGTGCAGACATTGAGGAGAAGGGAGTGAGAATGAAGCTGACAGTCATCGACACACCGGGCTTTGGAGACCAGATCAACAATGAGAACTGGTACGCTACAATTCTACCAACATTGAGCTGTCTATATAATGAAGTGAGATTTAAACTGTGTCTGACCAGCCCCCCCTTTTTCCTGTTGTCAAACTTTTCCTGTTCATGTTCTCTGTAACTCCATATTGTAATGTTCCTCCTTTAACCTCTACTTCCCACTTTCTACCTTCCTTCCTCTTTTATCTGTACCTTCTATCTCACCATTCCTTGAATCCACCCCTGCCACGGTCTAGCTGGCGGCCCATCATGAAGTTCATTAATGACCAGTACGAGGCGTACCTGCAGGAAGAGATCAACATCAACAGGAAGAAAAGGATTCCAGACTCCAGAGTCCACTGCTGCATTTATTTTATTCCCCCGACGGGACACTGGTAAGGACGCATTCTAACAGTGTTAAATATGAGCACAACATACTCAAAAGATATCAGTGCTGCCATCAGTGGCCCTTAGATGAGAACACAAGATGTTAGAGACTTGAAGGTAAGGTTCAAAACTTAGGAAAATCGCTTTATTACCTAGAGATTTATGAGGAGATTGACACAGCTCATGTTTGTACTTTAAAGACAAAGCTGGCTAACTTAGCTTAAAGGTCCCCTGCGGATTAAACAAACATTAGTTAGACGAAGGTGCTGTTTACACGGGAACGGAACGGGTTGTATCCGCTACTTTTCTCTTTCATATAGCCCGTTCGTTCACACGAGGCTGTAACGGAACCGCGGAAACGGACCCCTAAAACGATAACGGGTCCCAAGGTGGATAGATCTGCGTACGGAACGCTCTGGGGGGGCCAAACGGCTCCGTGTGTACGTCCTATACAATCATTTTCCTGATGACGATGAAGCCATTGCCCCGCCTCTCCCCACCTCTGCTGCTCACTGCTGTAGCATGGTCGATGTTAGTGCAAAATCTACAGCTCCTCTACCACAACCATCAGCAACAAGTGGACATGGAGAACTACATGTTGCTAAATCCACCGCGGAGAATAAACAGAAGGACAACCAGGCAACCATGGCAACCATGCTCGGGGGTCTTCTTCGCTGCTTTTGGTGCATTTTGTGGCGGAAGTACAGCGCCACTTACAGGCCCGGCATATGTACTATAGCGTCTCCAGCGGGTCGAGCGGTCTCGTGTGAAGGGACACGTTTATTGAGCCGTATCCGTGTGAACGGAAGACATTTTTGATATCGAATTTGGTTCGTTTGCATTCCCGTATAAATGGGGCTTTACTCTCAGTAGTTACTCAATGCATCTTGTGTGTGCCCTAAATAAAGTGTTGAATGCATTTCCTTTCTCATTAACCAAATATTGTACAGGCTGCATATTTACAAAATTAACATTTAATCATGTAGAAAAAATATATACATTAAAGCCTTCAGTTTTATCCAAGCCTTTATTGGGTTACATTGCTAGGCCAATTATAGCCACAAAATCACTGGAATAGTGGGAACCATTGGCAGGACTGTTTAATTCAAACAACAACAAAAGTATTAGAGATGTACAGAATGATCTGCCACCGGTCTCATATTTCCAAATGCACACACATCTAGGGGTATCTGGGTATCTTAAGCACAGCTGCATGCACACAATGTCATTGGTGGGGAAGTTCTTCAACACAAGTGAAGAAGACCACCTAAAAGTCCAAAGTATGCCAAAGGGGATCAACGTTCAAAACTACCATCTTTTTACATCAGGTGTAATTGATGCAGTGTGGATTAATGTGAAACATTTCTTCCACAGCATATTGAACATGAAAGCCGCCCACACACATTTCCGCTCGGCACTACGCAACGTATCCCAGAACACCAGTCCACACACACAAACACACTGGAAAGATTATCCCATCCGGCCCCTGAACGCAGCACACGGTCCAGAGTTTCTTTCCATGGATCTGTAACAGACACACACATCTGGCTCTGATCGGACTTTATAAACTGCAGTCCCTCTCCACACTGTGTTGGTTCAGCCCCTCACTGTTCGGAGCTCATGGGGTTGGCGTATACAAGCAGAAGACATTAGGGGCAGAGAGCACTCACGTCTCATGTGTCCATCAAGTGATAGATTCACAACACATTTTATAGCTTGTGCATTTGTGTAACTCTAGTCGAGTGCAGAGCAGTCTTGGGGAAAAGTTGAAAGCAGCTGTGGATTGTCAGCCTAGTTTCAACACACAGTTGAGAGATAGTGGCATTCAAGTGCTGCACCTCATTTCATTTTTGTGTCATGGCCTGTCTTCACTCAGGCAGGGGGGCTGGTGTAAAATAGCCCCCTGTCTCTGTGCCTCATCCAGCAGCGTTTCATGTCGATCCAACACTCCAACACTGCAGATGTCACATGGGCTGGCCAGCAGCTGCTCTGGGATCGCCTTAAGAAGTCTAACGGGAAGGAGAAAGAGAGGGAGTCTGTTTCTGGGAGCAGTCAATTAAATCCACACTTTTGTCTTTTTGAGATGTGCTCTTGCATGAGTGCACGAAAACTGCTTGTTGACAATGACCCGTCCTTTTTGAAGTATTGTTAGTCAGACCAGAATCCACTGCGATAACCACATGCAGATTCAGGAAAGGCCTCTCAACCAACCACAAATATATTTCAACCTCATCATTAGCTGTCCACACACATTTTTGAGTATGATTAGTTGGATGTAAAAATGTGAACTGGAAACACATTGTTATAAGATACAGCATTTCTTCATTCGGGAGAATTGTGAGGAACATCTGCCCCCTGCTGGAGGAGTTTTGTTCTAAAACTCATTTCATCTCCCTTCTTTTCTCATGTTGTCTCTTACCCTCTCAGTCTGCGACCTCTGGATGTAGAATTCATGAGACGTCTCAGTAAGGTGGTCAACATCGTCCCGGTCATCGCTAAGGCAGATACACTCACCCTGGAGGAGAGGGACTTCTTCAAAAAGAAGGTAACATTCATTCTTGATTATTCCTTGACTGATTTCTGCATTATTTGATTGAAAATGTATTATTATCCTCCCTTTAAATCCACATCTGTAATCTAGAAACATCATATGTTTGCCTCTGAATTGATGCATTAATGTTCTCATGTTTGTGGAGCAGCAACTCTTTCCTCTCAGTTTTGACACTCAAAACGCATGGCTGTATTCCACCAAGAACTCAAACAAATCGTTCTTTCTATGAAATGTACTTGCTACACTTATTCTACAAGGTTAATAAGGCAGCAGCGATTCATTTGTACGTTTTTATTAGCAGTCTTCACGGATTTTAAGATTGACCCTCCTCATTAGCGATAAGTAGGCTGAGCATGCATGTGCGTGTTTGTGTATATGTGCACAGGTTTATGCATAAGCATCTATCTTGTGAGGTTTTCTGTTGCTTTGTATTCAGTCTGCGATCAGTGGCTAAAATCAAACTTTTGTAAAAGATTAGAAGGCAGATTAGTGTTAATACCCATTTAATCTATACACAGATTTAGGTCCATTTGTCTGATGTCTCTGCAGACTCCATCAAGCACGCTCATCTAATTACTCCTGCAATTAAAGGCCTTAGTTTGTATCCTTTCAAAACTGCACTGGGTTAAAAGTGTGTTATGTGTCTCCAGATCAGGGAAGAGCTGCGAGCCAACGGGATTGACGTGTACCCTCAGAAAGAATTTGACGAAGACGCCGAGGACAGAATGATCAACGAGAAGATCAGGGTGAGGGGATCCTTTAAAAGCAATCACAGATATATGTGGCAGGAGCTGTGATTCTGTTAATCCTCATTTATGCTCAGACATGCCTTTCCACAAAGCACTGTTATCCTGAATCCATTATTGTTGATGTACTTAACATGAATGGTTTCTGACTCCATTGTCTGTTGACCTTTGAATCTGTGAGCAGGAGATGATCCCCTTTGCTGTGGTGGGCAGCGACCAGGAGTACCAGGTCAACGGCCGGAGGCTGCTGGGGAGGAAGACCAAGTGGGGAACTATTGAAGGTAAATCACCTCCACGTCTCAATCCATTCTTCCTCTTAGGTTCTTCTATTTAAGTTTGTTTTCAGAGTCACTTTCAGGACTTTTCTGCAACATAACTTACTCGGAAGAAGTTTTGTTGAGAGGACAGAAAGGGAGCTCAGTCAGTCAATAAAACAATGATGCAATCAGGCCTGCCGCAGACAGTCTGACTTAAAAGGACACACACACACACACACACACACACACACACACACACACACACACACACACACACACACACATCCCCTTCTGTATCACAAAAGATACACTGTGGATGATTAATGGCCGTCGTGTCTCATGGCTACTATGATTAACTCTTTTTTTAAATGATTTTATCAGTAGATTTTCTTTATCTACACAATAATAATTACCTTGTATTATCATTTAGATCCAACATCTCTTTATGTTATAATCAGTAGACTATAGTATATGTCTTTATCTTTTGTTGTTCTCATAATGAATAATATTTGTATTCACTTTTTGTATTTATTATTTTCATGTGTTGTGCCAATCAACCCCAGTGAAGTGAATGAAATTGGATTCTCACATAAGAAATGAATATTTGTCATTTGCTTACATTTATTAAATCTAGGGGGGAAAACCTAACCCTAGTTATTATTTGTGTGTGTTTTGTTTAGCTTTTTTAAAGAATTATAAGCTAGAAGTGTCTCTGTACAGTGTTGTTTTTTTGATAACATCCATGTCTACTACTGATTCATTTTCCAATATTTAATGATGTTATCCACTCCAGACAGGAGGCACCATCCCTCTATGAAGTGTCTCATTTAGTTTCATTTCCTGCAGACAGTGTTATCTCTTCAGCAGGACTCTGAGCAGACACACACATCTGTAGTGGGCGTTTGAGGGTTGAAAGAGAGGAATCCTCTCCACAGCTTCCTCTCACTGAGATCACTGACTCCACCCAGTGGACTGTTTAGGAAACATAATGGCCACAGATCACAGATGTCATACTGTCTGTCTTTTGGTGCCTTTGTTTGTCTTTTAGCTCATTTATGATTGTTTATGCTGACTCACAACTTCTCTCTCTCCTTTAGTTGAGAACATAGCCCACTGCGAGTTTGCCTATTTACGGGATCTCCTCATCAGGTGAGAAAATCTGTCTGCATCTTAAATTCTGTCTGACTTCATGCAGCCTTATGTGATAGTGTTTGCTTTATGACATGACATTATGCTCTACTTTGAATATTAATTTGCATCCCATATGGATATTACACCAAATGTTCAGTTAGCTAGTTTCTAAACATGTAAACTATTATTTCAATATTTAGATATCATTTAAGAAGCCGGAAATGCCATAATGCAAGCGTGAAGGTTTGCCCGTGTCTTCTACTGGTTTTTAATGTGTGTGTGTGTGTGTGTGTATGTGTTTCCTGCAGGAGCCATATGCAGAACATTAAGGACATCACCAGCAGCATCCACTATGAAATGTATCGTGTGAGGCGCCTCAACGAGAACAACACGGTGGTGGCTCACGCTAACGGTGTCCCTGAACATCATCTCGCCGCCCACGAGATGTAGACCCCACCCGCTCCACTGCAGCTAATCCACTGAGTGTGAGTCATTTACAATGGGACTTTGACCTTCACTGACAGTCTACCCACCACACCAGCCTTCCACTCCATCCATCTCCTTCTCACAGGTGGGATAGAAACTTAAAAAGCCTGCCAGAGGGACTTTATTTTCAATGACTTCCTGCGGCTGAATGGACTGTTCAGTTTTTTTGCCTCATTAACATATTGCTGACTAAGAGAGTGAAGAGAAGTTTGATTCTCCGTAATATGCTGCAGCTTGATTTGACCTGCTTCCAGATTTTACAGTTACCCTCTGGCTATTCCTTGTGGTGCCAAACATTAAGACAAAACAAAACGGACCGAAACTTTTTATCTTTCAGTGACAGAAATGCCTTAACCAGTAACATGTTTATCTTCTCCACTTGTACTTTTAAGTTAGATTTTAAGAATTCATGCCGTACCAGAACACAGTTTTTCTGTCTCTATGCAAACAGCTGTATCAACATATGTGGGAAGTGATGATTTAATTATTGCACTTGATCACTACATAGCCTGTTGTTTTACAGCATGTTGGCAGGGGGCCGGGAAGCGCTCTGCCAACATGTGATGCACACACTCATACACACACACACTCATACCAGCCTGTCTTTGTGAGGAAGGGTCTGTCTGCTCTGTCCCTAAACAAAAAAAAGGTTATCAAATAGCATATCATATGTTTGTATCTTTTTTCTGTCACACGCTTTGTTTTGCTATAACAATTTGTTAAATGTTCATGTTAAATATGGATGTCAGGTCCTAGACATATTTTTAAATTCCCAGATATAAATGTCATTGTTTTTTAATACAAATATCTTAAGAGTGATTTAAGATGAATAAGTATTTATGCACGATATAAAATGTGAATGTTTGCCATCAGATTATTCACACACACATGCGCCGACACATACACGCTCTCTCACACACTATCCCTGCTTTCGGGCCCATCGTAGTGCCTTATTTATTGGAGAATGTTTGCTAGCATGTTGGCTAAAACTGGAAAGAGAGCAGGTTTGTTGGTGCCAAGTCGACTACATTTTAGCCATTTTTCAATATGTTTCCCTTTTTTGTCTGCGGGAAAAGATCCAGTCTTCCATTGACAAGTCCTTTTTTCCTCTATTTCTCATAATATACCAAGGACCTTTACCTGTTTGGAACATATATATAATTCCCTAAGCTGTCACTGTCATGCTCTGTCCTGTATATTCTTCTGTGTTCTGATACATTTTTGTACTATTGATAATAACACATTTTCCTTTATCTTATTTTAAAGAAATAAAAATTAAAGTTGTAAATATATAATTTCTTTGATTTGTCTTTAATTTCGTGTACGTGTTTTATACATGAATATGTTTCCCCGGTGTTCCAGGGAACTCACCAAGTGTCAGAAAACACAACCCTCTCTATTTTCCTCCATACCCAAATCTCTTAAAAAGGGGCTGCAACGGATCTGATACTTACTGATCCAGATTTGAACACTTCTATGACGTCACAGAAGTGGCGCTACGGCTATTGGGCCAACTCCACCAATCAGGAGGAGACAGCCACGGACATTGCCGTTCGAAAGCGCTGGAGACGCTGTAGTACATATTTCAGGCCACCAGATGGTGCTGTTCTCACTGAATCCGAGCATGAAAGGCAGCTTTAAATTGAACGAAATGAGTAATGGCTAAAATGCATGATCTGTTTGGTATTTTGAAAAATGAAAAGTATAAATATGGCTAGCCATTACTCATTTCGTTCAATTTAAAGCTGCCTTTCATGCTCGGATTNACAGACAATAAACAAAGATTCAATGTTAAATCCCGGGGCTAGCAGCTGGATTGTTTTCAGCTTTGAGGCCTGCTGGAGATTTAACAATGGCAATGTATTCGGCCTTATATCTACAATGTGGAGGTTGTTTCAACAAATCATGAACAAAATGTTTGAGGATAAATTACAATTAACTACCACCTCCAAAACATCCTCCAACTGTTAGTCATTACACTTACATCTCCCTATTTTAGGATCATTGATTCTTCTAGCTGGGTAGCACACCATGACTATAATAAAAATATGTCATGTACTTGTCATGTAAAGTTACATTAACTTAGAAGTAACACAAAACGTCTTTTATTGGCAAAGCTTTTCATTGTATAATAGCTTGTCAAGTTAAGTTGGTCAAACAAACGCATGCTATTGGACGTTTTACAGTGAACACTTCAAGTGACGGTACTTTAAAATTGACAGTAAACTTATTACACTTGATAATATAAGACTTTAATTTCCTTGATTTTAAGAACATCTCAAGGAGCTTCTGGGACTCGTTTAGCTTCATCCTGAAAGTATTTGCTGTAAAGTTTAGTTTGCCATCAATTTCCTGTCACACTTACCTTTCTGCATTCTTCTTTTTCATGCTCATCTAGTTTTTCCAATGATCAGCACCCGAGTGGAGGAGGTGCAGTTTGAGTGTTGTTCACTAGAAAGTATTTGTGCCTCTGTAAGTGTGTTTAAAGAGAATGTGTATATGTGTTCAACCAAGCATCCTCACCTCCCTCGTCCGTATTGACAATGAAAGTGATGCGCAGCCATGGGGAAAATGAATTCCTTATGACACGAATCACCTCTCCATCCTGCTTTCTGTGTCCTATTTGCTGCATGTATAGAGAAAACACACTCCTTCTCACTCAATTTATCCAAAAAACATTCTGTTCTCTTCTCTGGCTTGAATCATTTCAATCCCTAACCTCCATTACTATTCACCTGCAGTCTCACCTGGCTGCATACATCAAAACTTCCTTTAAAACCTTTTTTTCCAGAGACCGGCTCCCTTTATGCGCCCCATCTCTGATGAAATTTGCAGGCTGTCAGGAGACTTGAGCAGGAAAGTCAAACGCCAATCTGGCAAGCGTGTCCTTGCTAGAGGAGCACATTTAGGATTTCCCCCCAGGCACAAACACACTGATTGGATCTTTTGGTGATCGGCAAGTCCTGCATGCAGATGACTTCAGTAAAAAATACCTCACCACTGAATATACAGGTCAAGTTTACGTGACTCTAAACAGGGGTGGGGAACCTCCGGCCCCCGGGCCGTATACGGCCCGCGAGCCATTTGGCAAGGCCCTCGAGGTGATTTATAAACACACGCAAAAAAGAAAAAAATGAAAGAAATCTAGATCGCAAAAAAATGAAACAAGCGAGTGCCTGTTTTTCCTGGTCAAGGTCAGGGTCCCTGAACACAACACGGGCCTAACGTGTCATCACGTGGTAATTATGTCTCGTCTGACAGAGATGGAGTGCTGACGGAGAGCACCAGAACACCACTCCGGCACTTCCAAAAATGGCAGTAGCCTACCCATAAGGAGCCGTACACATGCCGCAGTTGTTGCGTGGCTGTGTCTTTAGTTGAAAGGCCAGTGGCGATCTGTTCATCTGTCATACTGATCATACAGTCAATAACTTTGTTGTTATTAGCATCTGGTTAGCTAGCTATGCTAACGAATATAAGAAGCTTTTTCTACAACCACTGAGGTAAAGGCACACCTTTATATGATCATTATAGTTATTATAAAAAAATAAGATAATAAAGTAAACTGGTATAAAATACTATATGACAGTAAAATAAAGTTGTTATTAATAAACAAGAATACAGTTTAAAGGGGAGTGATTTGTAAAATATCCAGAAAGAAAAATAAATCTGCTTACAGTTCTGTTTCATATGGGTGTTGAGAGATGTATCCATAGATCTCCTAATGTTGCTCTCAAAGTGCACCAGATTGATGCTTTCAACTACAACATTTAAAAAAAATCTTCCCTGGGGAGCATGCCCCCCGGACCCCCGTAGAGGAGGTTAGGTCCTCCCCCACTTAAATCATGTCCACATGGATAGGAAACTAAATACATTTGCTCACATCTTGTGTCCATATCTTTCTGTTTCGGTGGTCATGTCACAACCGTGCACGTGCATGAATGCGCGAGTCATGGTAAGATATCTGGATTAAGAGGTTGCTTTTTCTTTGCACAGCATGAAAGAAAGGCCAAATGAATGTGCTGTGATTTTAGTTTTTTTAAGCAGAGGTCAATAATTTGTACGGCCCTCGGAGGATGTTAAAAAAATTGAAATGGCCTTTGAGAGGGAAAAGGTTCCCCACCCCTGCTCTAAACTGACTCTCTTTCATCTTATTTAACAAACAAACCTTCGACAGCTTTCAAGCTTACGAGAGGTCTGTTATAACCTTCAAAGACACACATTAATCTTTAATATGCCTTTTAAAGTTTATTTAGCTATTTGGCATATGTAGGACCTGATCATGAATACAAAATTAAAACTTATATTTCAACAGGAAATATTTGTTAAGAAACAGTTTTTGTCATGTAGTTTACTATGGGTTTATACTATTTTATAACTGTTTATTTAAATGAATGAACCTTGCTTTTCAAAAAGTGTTTTACCTATGCATTCATTTTCCTTGCTCCAATCTAAAAACGTCCTTTTTGTCTATAGGAACAGGCACACCTATAACTACGGTTATAACATCTCAATGTCTTTAAACAAAGACTTCCTCATTAACGACTCTTGTTTACATTTGTCAAACTGCACATTTTCTGATCAAATGTAATAATATATGAACCACTTTTACTTGGAGATCTGCTTTATAATGTCTTGGTCAAGATGACCGCCATCTTATTTTACACTAATAGGTGGGTTGTGCCTTTGCTACCACTAAAGCAAGACACAACCAAGTGTCTATGAGGACATCAGGTCTAAGTTCAGAAGAATTAAGTAGTTGCAGCAAACTCAAAATTAAATGTCAACATCTGAGAACACAGGGTTTGAGTTTAAAACTGGCCTTCACTAAGGACTTAAAAAGCACTTCCACTCCATAGTGAAAAAGCCAAATGAGTGGCCAAAATGGAACATGATTCAGTGTGAAAATCGACTTTGTGATGAAAACAGCGTGACTTGGAAAGCGTATCGATTGGGAGTTCTCTTGAGGACAAGCGAGTGCAGGAACTATCCATCGACACAATTAAGAGGAGGATTGAGTTTCTCACTTCAGCACAAAGACTTCTTCTGTTAACAGAGAGGAAATTCCCCAGCAAGACACACACACCTCTGAAATCATCTCTCCAATCTTTTAAAAATATTTTTCTATCCTCGTACTTTGCCCGTTTTCCTGTCCACCTCTCTCTCCCTATATCTTTCTTTTCTCACATGCATTTTTTATATTCCCTGCTCCATTCACCCAAATCTCACCATTATCCATCAAGTGTGTTGGTTTGGTTTTGATTATGTACCACAAGAATTTCTCACCTACATATCCTCCAACTTCACCCGACCTCATTTACACCTCAGCAGATGCCTCTTTCTTATGGCATCTCTATCTTGAGAATTAGAGGTGCTACCACTTATGACACTAGGACTATCACTTTGGTGCTCTAAACGTGTCACCTATGACTCAAACTCTTTGTAAAAAACCCCTCTTTGGATAAATGTGTCCACAACATGCCAGGTCGAGGGCAGCACAAGACATGAAAAAAAATCACAAAGCCCACAGATTCTACGCAGACAAACATTATTCTTCCGATAAAGTGTGCAGCGGTCACAACACACAAATTCACACACTCGCTTCGATTCATTTTCATTACAGCAGCATAATCGCTGACACACATCTGCAACTAGTTTAATTACTCACAGTAATTAGCCAGAGCCAGGAGCTTCTCTCTGTCTCACCTCTCCTCCTCTGTCTGGATCTCTCTCTGTGAGGCAAGTATGTCAACCAGCATGCTAGTGTTAGAGCATAACACTCTTGGATTCTGTTATTATGACAAGTGACTGGCATCAGCTTGAAGAGTTTATGCCTTCAATAAAGTGACCCTTTGAACCAAGTTTCTACCCCTTTTATTAAACCCCCCCCTGCTGGGATTTATTCGTTTTTTTCCCGACCCTCACCCACACAATTTGGTTTTCATCTTCCAAAACCGCGTCACATCGAACCAAGCGAACTCACTTCTTCGCTCTGTTCAGTCAGCTAATTGAATTTGCATCTGACTTTTAATTAACAGCAGAGGTGATTTGCATAAAGTCGGATCATTTGCATATGGTCTACAGCCCCTCCCCTCTACATGTCTGAGTGCCTGGCACAGAGCCAAGAGGAGGGGTGGAAACTGACATCAGAGGGAGAAATAAGGAGGGAGGAAGGGATGGGTGGAGGAGGAGGAGGAGAAGGTGAGTTGTCTGCCAACAAAGGAGAAGAGAAACAGCAGATGGGGGAAGGAGGAGACAAATGGGGGCACGGAACCACTCTTGCCATGGGATGTGGGAGGTAGAAAGGCAAGAAAACAAATGTGTGCACATGATCACCCACGCATACACACACACACACACACACACACACACAAATATCTCCACAGATTTCGCAATCAAGTTAGCTAATTAAAAAAATCAAAGGGGGAAGGGGGATAAATAAAGCAATGCATGCTAAATAGTTATATTCATCTTACAAACAGGTGTTAATTGGTGGCACGACGGCTCTATGCAGATGAGCTTGGCAGGCGCAATAACAAGACGGGGCAATACGGTGCAATGCAACACGTTTAGGCAGCTTCATAAAGAGGGACGATGCAAGAGAGAATGCATCGATGTCATGTCAGCATAGCCATGACCTGTTTTAATGTGTAATATCTGTCTACATGTTTGTTTTTACTAGCTGCTTGTTGGCTTGTTTGTGTTTGGTGGGCCAAAGACACATTTTCACCACATTAAAGATATTCTATTCTATAAACATACACAAGTCAGATTCAGCATTAAATATCGAAAACCACCTCTTGCATATTAATTCATTCCCACATTAAGTTTGGTATTCGTCAAAATGCTTCCTGTTCAGAGGGCTCGCTCTGCTCTGATAGGTCCAATCCATCACACTGTACCAACTTTGTCCAATAGGCATGCCTTTATCTATTAACTCCCAATTAATATAGAAGTGTGGTCTGTCGGTGACTCTGGCACTATTGTGTGACTTGATTTTGCAGTGCAATCTAGCAGAAAATAAGTTTAAGGTGTCACTGAGCATTAAAACAGCTGGAGCGTGCACACAAGTTTGTTTACTCAGTGTGTAAAACTCAAACATGCGTTCTAGCAGAAACATCACCGCCATCTGCACAACATCAAAACCTGAAATACAACAAACCAACACATGATCTGTCTGAGTCGCCCTTCTTCATTAGTACCCAGAGAGAATGCGGCTCATTAATGAAAGTCATTAATGCGGGCGGTGGAGCGCTGTGCGGCTGCCAACACCCCGACTGCTGGGTGGCATGGAGGGGGGAGACGGGTAGAGATGCAGCTGCTTCTCTCACCGTTTCCCCAGGGGAGATGGAGGGAGAGTTGGAGGAAACAGTGGGAGAATGTGGGGGTCTCAACTTATGAGTTGAGGGTACGGGCTTGATAGAGGGTTGGGGGTCGTTGCAGGCGTGTGCCATCTTAACGCTGCGGAACATGGGGCACGGCAGACGCCATTTTGAGGGGCCGATGCAGCGAGTCGCCATTTTAAAGTGATCTGCATGGGGAGAATGGAATTTGATAAAATCCCAACCTCAGATAATGCTAACTTTTAAAACATGATTTGACTCTTGGAGATGCTGCTTGATAACTTGTTTGGTCACATGACTGCAAATGATATTCTTCGTTTCACTAATCGATCAGTTTCTCTCACATTCACAGAGAAAGCATTTCGCATTGTCTTTTAGTTCCAAGTATGAGATGATGTAACGTAATGCAAGATACATGGCTGACTCACTGCATGTGAAGATGAACAGAAACACACATTCTTAGTTTTAGGCTTATATCTGAACATAATATCACTTTCTATTTCTACCAATAAATCCCTCTGTGGTACACTCTTCTAATTTAAACGATATATTAAAGGGGACCTATCATGCAAAATGCTCTTTTGTACGTCTTTTATACATGAATATGTGTCCCCGGTGTGTCAGGGAACTCAGCAAGTGTCAGAAACACAACCCTTTCTTTTCCTCCATACCCAAATCTCTAAAAACGGGGCTGCAACGGATCTGATACAGACTGATACAGATTTGAAATATCTCTGACGTCAGAAACGGGGAGCTCCGCCTATATGGGCAACTCTCCACCTATCAGGGGAATGAGAGGTAGCATGGCATGGTAACAGCATGGTAACAGCATGGTAACATGACGCTCGTGCCTCGCCCCTCTCAGCTGCAGTTCATTTGCCACAGAATCAGCCCTTGTGAAGACAGGGCTGGAATAAAGCAAATAGAGCGAAATGAGGCATGGCTAAAATGCATGATCTGTTTGGTATTTTGAAAAAAAAAACTTCACAGAGATATTTTATATAGATATGGCCCTACAATATATTATTCAAATATAGCATGATAGGTCAACTTTAAATGAAAATCGGTAGAATGTAGCAGTTTTTACTTGATATAGTTTTGTCTACA